TATAGGTATAACTATAAGTATAGATTTCCTTACCTATACAGGAACCATAAATTTGCAGGATTTCATACCTTTCGTATCAAGGAGTAGGAAAATTATTGTACAATACAAATTCGCTTTCTACCTCATGACTTTAGGTAGGTGGTTAGGTTATTCTCGAATTTATATGCTACAGTAACCAACTAACACCAGGTGAGCCGTATGCTTCGCTACAAGTGTATTATGGCTATGTTAATCGCTCGACGGCAACCAGACAACCTTAAAACTGGTAGCCGTGGGCAAGGGGAAAAGATTCCTGGCCGGTCACCAAGCCGGTGGTCAGATCAGGTAACCGCCTTTACAGGACTCTGTTACGAGCGCCCTGAGGGAAGCCGGAAGCCGACCGAAATGGAAGATGATGGTACAAAGAGCCACGAAGGATTTTCTAAGGACACGACCTCCAGCAATGAAATATGCGACTAATAGTTGTTTTTTTTTAACCTATTCTAGTAACCTCAAGGGGTTATTCTAGATTCACAGAACGAGTGAGTGAGCTCACGGGATTCTAATCCGATGACGTTGGTAACACTAGCCCTAGCAAGAACAGTGCTTCGCAGAATCTACCGCCGGATCGGAAACGCGACTCACTGAGAAGATCCGGCGAGAAACTCAGTGGGTTAATTCACTCGCCGAGCACTTCGTCGTAAGCGACGCGTTCGGCGAGAACGATGACCGGTGCTTGAGATCCCTAGAAGCACCGTTAGTGGATCGGAAGGATGCGAAATGACGTGCTTTGACCGACGTCGACTGTTTATCATTCGGTTCGCGGGATGGGGTATGACAGAAGATGCACGGTATATATGGTTTGTCTTTGTTAATATTTTTTATAGTGTAGTCTTGGCGAAATTTGTGATTATAGAAGTATAAAATACAATCATAATAATGTACAAACTTACAATTCCAATTAATTATAGTCGAATTTCGACTACTGCGGGACCTCTAGTGGTATTAATTTTATCTACGGCGCGCGAAAATAAAACTAAATTCGACATTTCCATTTAATTAAACATTTGAATGTTCTTACCTGATGGCAAGAGAAACTTTTTTTATTGCTTAGTTTAGTGGACGAGCTCACAGCCCACCTGATGTTAAGTAGCTACTGGAGCCCATAGACACCTACAACGTAAATGCGCCAAGCACCTTGAGATATAAGTTCTAAGGTCTCAGTATAGTTACAGCGGCTACCCCACCCGGAAATAGGCAGGGCAGTGGTACCTACCCGTGCGGACTCACAAGAGGTCCTAGCACCAGTAATTATGCAAATTATAATTTTGCGGGTTTTAATTTTATTACACGATGCTATTATTGTATCTGTTTTTTTTCTTCATAGGCGAGTATAAATCGGATTATAAAACATAACGATTGGAAGACGTCTTGTAAGTCCACGCGGGTAGGTACCGCCCTGCCTATTTCTGCCGTGAAGCAGTAATGCGTTTCGGCTTAGCGGATGGAGCAGCTGTTATACTGCAAAAACCTAGATTTTAGAACTCTTGTCTCAAGTTGGATGACGGCATTTACGTTGTAGATGTCTATGGGCTCCGATAATCTCTCACTAGATTGGCCGTGAGTTCATCCGCCCATCTAAAAAATACCAATTAAAGCTGTATCTGCAACTTAATTAGTGAGACTCTCTATAGCTGCTTTCTCTTCGATCCCGCAGCGACTCTACACTTGCCAAATAAACAGGTCCGCACTCCAGTGACCTATGTCCATAAAACAACAGTCATCCTATTGTGTATTGTGATCGGTCAATATTATAATGTCAGTCGCTATCAATCCAATTAATCGATGACACAATCCTTTGACATGCCACGATCGGATATCGTCTGCGAAGATATGAGGCTTTTGATTTCATTGAAATACCCTGTTTGTTACTGGTGGTAGGACCTCTTGTGAGTCCGGACGGGTAGGTACCACCGCCTTGCCTATTTCTGCCGTGAAGCCGTAATGCGTTTCGGTTTGAAGGGTGGGGCAGCCGTTGTAACTATACTGAGACCTTAGAACTTATATCTCAAGGGGTGGGTGGCGCATTTACGTTGTAGATGTCTATGGGCTCCAGTAACCACTTGACATCAGGTGGGCTGTGAGCTCTTCCAGCCATCTAAGCAATAAAAAAAAATCGGATTGGAAAATCGGCTTGTTATCGGAGAAGCAGACTTTGGCCCACAATTGGGAATCTTATTCTTAGTCATTTTCACTCTTGGCGGAGTGGTCGTGGTCATCAGTTCGGGTGGTGGTGTGCTTCAGCAGACGTCGCTATTCTTCGCATTCCGGAACCTGCGTTATGCACTCATTGACGAGATTGTGTAAGCTATTGTTTGGTCGGTCCATCGTAACGGTGATCTGCGGCGCGGTCTTGTACCCTCAATCATGGCCAACTGGTATAGCTACTGCTGTGTTATAGCATGTTTAAGGGAGAATCCTCCTTTCCGTTGCTCACCCTGAGAAAATGCCGAGAGCCTTGTAGTAAGAAATCGTTATTTAAACTAAGGGCACTTTTAATGGTTTGCTTATTTTTTAAAAAGCGCTTAAGTACACTTATAGTCAACGTACTCCTATATGTTTTTTAACTATGACTTAAGAGCTTAAAGACAAAATACTAAAAAAGCTTTTGCTTCAGTTTTCTATAGCGGCGACATCTTTGTTTTTAATCGTTTAAGATTAAAACCGCTAAATGAAAATGACTCATTGACGAGCTTAATAATTATCATCATCATCATCATTGTCGCAGAGCAGCCGTGGTCATCTTTTGGTGGTGGTTTATACAATTATCGCAGAGGGAATCCCTCTCTACCACGCAACCTCTACGGGATGCCGAACCGTCAAATGTCGAAGACCTTAGCACCAGAGCTTCTGAGGCCACCTGATTCCTGCAAGTAACCACTCTATAACCAATTATCATCGTTAATTAGCTTAAGAAATCTTACCACTTACGTTTTAATAGTCATTTAACCACTGCTTTTTGGGAAAGACCATAAATATTCTAATGATATTAATTTAAAATTTGGCCTCAAATGACGTTACACGTAACGTTAATTCTTTTTTGAAATTTTACTTATTTTTACTATATTGCAACTTTCTTAGAAAGTGATGTGAGTTTATTCCGTCATCAATCGTAGCACACACACACACACACACAAACACCCCCCATAGGTCACTGCTGGCAGTTCATTTCTGATAAGTCTTGCTTATCTACCACTAGGCAATCGTACTTAGAGCTCTCTCCTCCTTGCGTCGGTTTCCTCATTACTGAGGGTCGTGGTCATGGCCTTGAATCAGTTTGTTTTTTATAATGCACCGCCATCTGTTCCTATCTGCAGCTGAGTGCAGAGCATCGTGCAATGTGGTATCAAGGGCTGCACGAATCTGGTCCGTTCAACGGGTCGGGTTCCTGCCTCTTGGTCGCTTGCCCGCGAGCTTTCCAGTAACCACCAATTTCTCCAAGTTATTAAGCATTGAATAACTAAAACTTACATTTTCACGTCGACAGCGAATACTGAACTATAAGTTCTTCAGTCCGCCTGAGTCACCAATAGTGATAAGGGGAAGCTCGTTTGTCCATCTGTGCCAATCTAACATCCGCCGAAGGTTAAGAGGCGACTTAAGGGCATAAGCATTAAACTAGCACATTACAATTAGGATGTCACATTTCTTAGGGTGACGGCATTCATGGTGTCTTTTTTGTAAGCCTTCGTAAGTACATGTCCATACCGCCTATCAGGTGGTGAGTGGTTACCGTCACTAATGAATATCAGCAATGCTAAAGGCACTGCGAAGTTGCTGCCTAAAGTGGAGTACTCTCATAAGCCTCGTTTGAAGAATGACATTACCTTAACGATCGGGAAACACGAGTGTATCCAGAGCCGGACGGTACGTATCAAAAAAGCTTTCTAAAAGCACTCTACCGACGAACTTAGAGGTCCCAGTATGCATGAATTTTGCTCCTGTAGCGGGAGCTGCTATTGGAGCTCAGAGGATCATCTCGAACAATTCCTCAAAGCATTACGAAACACAGAGAAAAACGAAAACTCTCCGTAGATTTAGAGGTTCCAAGCGATCAGTCTATCAGCTGCAGTAACCACTTGGTACCAGGACGGCAGCGTAGTGAGTCGAGCTCCCTGTCTTCAGCAATAACAAAGTATAAAAAAATAAAAGAGCTCTTCACAAACGATTTTCTATTATGTGAACGACACGAAAACAAAGCAAACAGTGTCGCCCGAAAAAATCGTAGCAGTCTTAAATAAACAAAAACCATGTGTCAAATCGAAATTACACCCAAAACAATGGAAATGTCAAGGACTAATTATCAAAAGCATCGTGTCCACAACTGACTCTAATGTGACGAAATTCATACAAATAAACACTGTTAATAACTTGGTATAAGCACACGACAGCTACAATTATGGTTTGTCACGTCGTACGTCCGTCTGTCACGTTCGTAAATGGTCATTACAAACGAAAGCATGGGGTGTATATATATGATTTTTTTTACGACTCATCACAGAACTCGATTGGCTCCTGCCGTGAACGTCTACGATGAAGCTGTTTTTGGTTTGTTCCCATTTTTTTGTCTTTAACTGTAATTTTGAGGTATTTTAGTTGATTTGATTTTATTCGATTTTCATTTAAGACCATGTCAATGCATAGATTCTGTGATCCTTTTTATATTTACATCTCTTCTATGAAATTATTAGTCTTCTCAGAAGTAAGATTAACCCATTTTCTACGACACTAGAGCAAAATGTACTATTATTACTGATTGAATGATTTTTATTGAATACAAAAAAGTAATCTCAAGCAATTTTGATATTTTATAAAATACCACAGCTATCATTCACATAACGAAGTATCTTTTTTGTTTAAAGCTTAAACGTTTTTAAAGTCTTATTAATTTCAAAAGTGAAAACAAAATATGTTTTAATTTATCAACTTAAAATTTTCAGATAATTTCAGCCTTCGGGTTCATGAATGCGGCTAAGCTCCACCGAGCCTATCTTCCGCCATCCAATGCGAAATTAGCTGGAGGTAGACCAGAAGATCTACAAACTCCTCTAGAATTACCGAAGGAAACCTATTTAAAATTTTCTGGAAATGATAAGCAAAAGAAAGAAGAAAATACAGTTAATCAAAATAGAATTGGTTTGAATGGAAATTTTCCAAATATCCAAACATTAAAATATGACACTGAAAACAAGGAATTAGGGATAAATTTGTCTTTAAGCAAAGCACAAAATAGTGCCTTTATTGACGATCAAGAAATTCCATTAGAAATTAAAAGTACACTAGACCAAGGAATTTTTGAAAGCAATGGTTTGAAAGCATTTGGTCCCATTAAAGGTACGTATCCATTGGCCCAAAAAAATAACGATAGGAATCAATACATTCCAAAATCAATAGATAAGATCAATACTCGGTTTGAAGCTAACTCCACTTCTGTTCCAACTGCTGTAAAGGAATCTAACAATACTGCTTATAAAATTTCAATAGTCAGAGGTAGTTTTGGAGAATATAATCAGATTAAACAAACGCCTAACCCTGAATCAATCACTGAAACATTGATTGAAGATAAAATTACACCTCTAAAAGATTATGTTAACTCTGAAATTAGTGGCATGTCAACGCCAGATTTCACTAAACTAGAGGAAATTTTTACTAAAAATTTTTCTAGGGTTGGCGATCCAACATCAAATTATTCAAATCAAATTATTAATCCAACTGTAGATGGACAATCAATTTCTAATATTGCGGGTAATTTTGTCAACTTTCAAAATACTGAAAATCCCGAGAGGATTAAGCAAAAAAATAAAAATGAAAACGATGATTCTTTGTCCTCTAAGCGCTTTAACGACGTGAAAAACATTTATTCGAATCTATTTCCACAAAACTTCCGTAACAAATACTTGGATATAACAAAAAGACCTCAAACAGAAAACGACAGAAAAGCGGCATTACTTAGTTTTGAAAACATCATAACGCCAGAAGGCTTCTCGTACACATTTGATACTTCAAATGGCATACACGCAGATGAAAGTGGCACAGCTATTGGGGGGGTAAGAGCCAAAGGATCTTACTCATATACGGGTGATGATGGAAAGGTATACACTGTGACTTACACAGCAGATGAAAAAGGCTTCCTACCAAAAGGTGATCACATTCATCCTCTTCCAAATTCTATTAAGGCCCTGATTGAGAAGACCCCCTCCGATGGAATATATGATGATGGTAAGAATGTAGATGAAGTTTTTTTTAATTTATTCTTGAATCTGTATTTGAGTATTACCATAAACAGTGTATTTTTAGTTTTAATTCGCAGAAGTTTAAGATAACTCGTATGTGGATACTTCCATATAACTAAAATTTAATAAATGTAATATTTTGTTTGTATAAACTATGCAATAATATCAAAACTAAAGCTAAAAGCTGCAATCCCTGCCTATTCAAGCCTATTCAATTTTAAATAAATATAAATCCAACAGCTTTTAGCACTTAAAAATTTCTACGCCTTAGGTCTTTGTTTCGGATTCTTCACCACTAAAAGTTTTTTCAGTCTTAAATAATTAATATATCAAAAATTTGTGAGTATCTTCTTTTCATTACAGGTTCTTACAGCGAAGAAAAGTATGGACACATGCGTTATCAAGGGCCCATCGATCGTTATTACTCACAAATTCATATGAAAACAGGGAATCGACAGCGGAAGCCTGCAAATAAAGAAACTAGCTCGTTCAACAAAACACAATACATGAAGACAAATAATTCCGAAAGACTAGCAACTAATACCCCTTTCATAATTAACACTCCTAAGAGTGTTCTTCCCTTTGAGATAAAAGAAAGAAGCCAGACATCAACTTTAAGATCACGACCAACAAATATTATTGGTAATCAATATCCAAACGCCGAATTGAAAGGCAGTGAAAACGTTATCAAAAACTCGCAAGACAATCCTATCGTTGAAAGCGATGATTATAATATTAACGACATGAAATTCGGTAAACTTAAAACACCAACTTTTGAAATAATTAAAGAAAGCCATGAAAAACAATTTAAAAATGTACAAAAGCCGGTAGCCGTTACTGCTGACCCTTTTAACGGTCAAACAATTACTTCAACTGAAATTCCTGATTACTTCACAACCGAATTTAATAATCCATTGCTTTTAATAAGCAATGATGATTTTATACCGACTACTAGAGATGGGGAAACAGGTTATACATATACAAAGCCAAAAAATGTATTCAAAGAAGGCATAACATCAACTCCTGCTGATGCCGAGAAAGAAATATATTATGATTCTGTTAATCCTGGAGAAGCAAACGCTTATACTTCTTCAGTAAACGTACCAAATGATCTCTCAAGAACTCAAGAGTCAACAAGCCCTCAAACTCCGATTTTAAGATCAAAATTTACAGCAAATAACAATCCATACCTGACAACAGACACGATTGAAAAGATATTAGGAAGCTCACTAGCGCCAACATTATTTATGCCATCAACAACGCCAATGCCATCATTAAATAAATATATTGATACGGGTATTAAGGCATTAGACGATAAAAAAACCATGGACGCTACAACTCCTGCAAATGTAAATACAGAATATAACACAGATAGCGATTTAGCTCTGAACACTGCTTTTGATCATAGCCCCAGACCAACGACACCTGGAGACGAGGTTTACGAAGATCGTACCAACTTGCCATATTTAACCACAGAAGAAGACGCTGACACGAAACTCTTAGGCAATAATTACGACCCAAATTATATGTTTTCTCTCCCAGTGCCTGTTAATATGCTTGGGAATATAAACTTAATGCAGATCGATAATGATGATTCATTATATCGGAAAACTGATAAAGTTATTGGCGAAGACTTCAGTGGACCCAAACAACCTCAATCGTTTGATCCAGCTTCTGGTTACTATTATTAGTAAAATATTTCTTGATAAGCTATATAAACTAGGCGATAGTTGCTATATTATGTTGGGTGCGATAGATATTTTGTTACATATCTTAACTATTGTCTTCTGCGACGTCCGTATTTTCTTTTCTTAATTACGGCAAAAGCAATTCTTTGATAAATAAAAATATTAAATATGTAATACTGTTTTAAATTTTGCTAGGGAAAAAATGATTATATATCGCTGAGATTAGCTCTAGAAACAAAATAACTCATATGTGCTAATAACTCAATTCATCTGCAGTATGTTCATATTACTATGCCGGAAACCTCCCTAAAGTTCTAACAGATGTGTCTAATACAAAAGTTTGACAAAGAAAAAAGCCGACTTCAACAAAATAAATTACAAATCTCATCACTTTAGTCGAAATCAATTAGGCATGCACTTTATAAGATAAATCAAAAATGACTGATTAGTTTTTAATACAATTAATAGAGGGGCCCATTAGGAGCGCCAGCTTTTTAATAAAAATATATAATTATCATCAAAATCGTTTCTCGGTGTTTCCCGAGCGCTATGACATGTCCTTCTTCAAACGAGACTTGTGGGGAGTATTAAGCAGTAGGTAGCGGTTTGGCTCTACCCTGGCATTGCTGACGTCTATGAGCACCACTTACCATCAGGTGGGCCGTATGCTCGGCTGCCTGCTTTCAACCCTCGGTATGATTTTCCGGATGAGGTGGAAACAGCTCACGAGACAGGCCACGGTCAAGTTTCAGGAACACGACCTTTAATGAAATTACTGGTGGTAGGACCTCTTGTGAGTCCGCACAGGTAGGTACCACCACCCCGCCTATTTCTGCCGTGAAGCAGTAATGCGTTTCGGTTCGAAGGGTGGGGTAGCCGTTGTAACTATACTGAGACCTTAGAACTTATATCTCAAGGGGGGTGGCGCATTTACGTTGTAGATGTATATGGGCTCCAATAGCCACTTAACACCAGGTGGGCTGTGAGCTACCCATCTTAGCAATAAAAAATTAAAAAAAAAACCTTCAGTAATGAAGAAAGCGACGAAGAAAAAAAAATGATTTTCCGATAGAATAACAACATGAAACGTGACCAATGTCGTCCATGCAGTCCGTGAGAGGAACAGGTGATGTCCCTGCTCCACAAATAAATTTAGTTAGACCGCCAATCAAAACGGACATAATATGCAAATTCAATATTCAAAGCACTAATTACGAGCAATTGAATCAAATACATTTCAACAGAGAATTCCTTGAATAAATCCTCCGTAAACACAACCTCGCGCACATAATCGAACCTCAGTTTAACATATGAATTGTAATTATTAATATTCGTTCATCGTATCTTCGTCTTAATAGTCTAAATAGTTTTTAGTAATGGGTTATTAGGATTTGCAATAAAATTTTGAAAATATTACATTGTTGCAACTTCTCTGGCAGTATTGGAAAGAATAAAGATCCTAAAACAAACGAAAATTCAAAATATTTACTTGTTTGGAGTCGGTAGGCAAGATTTTCTTGAAATTTTCATTACCGGGGTTTGTTTTGTTATAAATTTGGACGATATTCACTCCCCAATTTGGTTTATGGTTACAGGGACTAATAGAAATCACAACAAGAGCTCCTGATCCTGTGGACCGAAAGGTAAACAGTCGACGTTACCTCAAGCCCTCAAGCACCGTCCTTGCCGAATCCGTCGCTTGCGACAAAGGGCTCGACGAGTAAATTAACTCATAGACATAGCCCACTAACTTTCTCGCCGAATCTTCTCAGTGGGTCGCGTTTCCAATTCGGTGGTAGATTCTGCGAAGCAGTGCTCTTGCTAGGGTCAGTGTTAGCAATACTTCCGGTCTGAGTCCCGTAAGCTCACTATACATTAAGGAGAAGCTAAAATAGCCTCTCAAGGCTATCAGCATAGGTAGGTAGGAAAAAAATCGGTTCTGTAAAGTCGGTTTACTGACGATAGTTGAACGTGACAATGTCATAAGAAAATACGCCTCAGAGCGAGGTAACGCCGCATGAGTCATATTTTTTAGTGCGCGCAGCCGGCTCCATCGAATTATAAGAAGTTGTTACGTCAACAAAAACAAGATTACTGTCACCCATCCACCCATCTAGAGTTATGGGGTTAAAATCCCAATGGCTTCAGGGCTCATAATGTAGTTGATGATCGCAGCACGCTGCTGTAGTAGGTACTAATCTAGCAGAGGATCTTGCTTCGTTGAATCACTTAATCGCCTTATGACACCTATAGAAAACGGGATAGAATATGCTATCCTAAGATTTGTAAATTGAATTGAGAACCTAATATTTTTATATCATTTAACACGTAATCGAAAAGTGTCTACTGAAGAAAAAACTTTACGAATTAGTAGTTTAGGCTATTATCGATTGAACATTTTATCCGTTGATCATTCCCTTCGATATTTTTTTAAAAGCGCCATCTATATTAAATTTCCAGAACTACACATTACCATCTTTGTAGCAATGTGAACAGAATAAAAATTTCAACAGATGGCGCTTATATCAAATTTCTTCTGTATTCAGTTTCTCCGTAGTCTTGAAGAATTTTTACTCTTGCCTTTTGATGATTTTTTTGTTTTTGATGATGTTGTTGATCATTTAAAGGCTCCGGAAAAGAGGTTACAACCAGAGAAACTGATCCATACAAACAATCGCATAAAGAGTCGACAGCAGATGACTTGTAACTCTGACTAGAGATAGTCTAATAGATGTATTTTTACCCCCTACCTATTCGCTGGTAGCTCTAGGCGCTTTTCCAGCTACGCCCGGGTAGGTGAGCTCACGGGCTCAACCTGAAAAAATTTGCTACCACTAGCCCTAGCAAGAGTAGTGGTGCTTCGCAGAATCTACTACCGGATCGGAATCGTGACCCGTTGAGAAGATCCGGCGAGAAACTCAGCGGGCTTTAGATTAGGTTGTACATCGAATTCTTTGCCGAGTTCGACGAGTACGGCTACCGGAATCCCTAAGCCTGCTCCTAGTGTTACAGCTGAAGGTAATGCAAGGGGTTAATGAATGGCCAATTCCTGGCCAATTCTAGACTAATGGTGTAATGATGACGCGTTGATAAATTTTATTTTATTAGGTCCTTTCCTAGCATTTTGATAGGATTTAATCATCAAATACATTCCGTTCCGTAGGATAGAACAGTACAGTACATTGAGAGAGAGATTGAGATTCCAACACAAATTTACAGAGGTTTTTCTTCACCAATAAAATTAAGATAAAAACGGTTCCGGAGATTAAAATTTTCATCTACAATGCATTATTATACATAGCTCATTGAAAAATGTACACAAAAACTTAAAGAACTAGTTTGACCTGATCCACCTTGGCTTTTGGGGTGAATCGGGTCACTTATGGGGATAATAGAGTTTTTTCATAGGGCTGGTACTTTTTAGTTGTTAGGTAGGTACTTGCCTTTAGATAATTAACTTTTCAATATCTTTAATTAGTTACAAAACTCCGATGACTAAATAAACTATTTAATATTCATAAACACTAAATAAAAATCCTTTTTAATGTGACACATTTAAATCTTACAATAACATTGTGACAACCCAGATCTGTCACTATAGCCCCCAATCTATGGTAGTCTTTGTTCAGTGCCTTGGAACAAACTCCCACACTATAAAGTTGCTGATATGACTGTCGGTACTTGAACCATTGTACCATGGTTCACTTGCGGACTGAATAATAATAATAATAATAATAATAACGGTATGTTCGAATTAAGTATCGGTTGAATGGAATATTTGAAATGTATTCAACTGATAATTACTTTTAATAAATGTATCTTTTTTATTTGATTGGTTTTGTTAATTTTAAGTATGTTTCAATGATACTATGTACACATATGGACTTGTTGTTGTCTGAAATAAAATAAATCATTCATTCATTCATTCATTGAACCGGATTGTCAATGATTAGCGGTAAGCTGGCTTGGCTTGGCTTAGTTTTTCTAGCTCCGATGTTGATGCCAATAAAATCCTAACAAAATAGCAGGTAATTCATATATTTATAACCATTTGTTTTCTAATGTTCTTTTTTTAATCAAACATTGAAAAGTTTCAATATTAATAGGTCATGTTTACGGAAATTATTACGCGATGGCGTTTTATTACGTAATTTATTTTATAAGAAAATAACGCATGACATGCGATAATGATCTTTTTGTTGGGACTTTTTTCGAGTTATTTTCAAATTATAATAATGAACAGCAGAAAAAAAACCTATTGAACAAATTACAGGATCGCTTCGAAGAAAAAAATTTTGCTTTTTGGTTCTTCGTGCTATATCCGGGTGATTAATATTTAACGCACTTGAAGATGGATGTAGCGCTAACCTACCTGTTAAACTAATACCTAAGAGAAATGCCAATGTCATGATAATGCCAGGAAAATTTAGCCAGTCCGCAGTTTATCACAAACATAACTTGTGTAAGCCTCTTTTGAATAAGTCCAAACGCTCAGGGACTTGGAGTTGACTTCGTCCTCAAATTTTTATTTATTGCTTAAATGGGTGGACGAGTTCACAGCCATTCTGGCGTTAAGTGGTTACTGGAGCCCATAGACATCTACAAGGTAACCTTGAGATACGAGTTCTAAGGTCTCAGTATAGTTACAACGGCTGGCCCACCCTTTAAACCGAAACGCATTAGTGCTTCTCGGCAGAAATAGGCAGGGTGGTGGTACCTACCCGTGCGGACTCACAAGAGGTCCTTCCACCAATAATTGGTAATATGGGGGAACGAAATCCTCTTAGATGTTTTGTAGACATTTCCAGTTAATTTTATTACTACAACTCAAGTAATTACTTGCAAGAATTCTCGTGGAAGCAGTAAATACGTGATTGGTTGACAGCTGTAATTATTACAATATAACAGAGAAAATGGGGCCCCGTTTATCTACAATGATTCAAACAGCTCACTTATGAAAAGCGCTACATACAAGGCACCCAAACAAAATACTTGTTTGAGTGCCACGCGAACTCTGACATAGGCTTTAAACTACCCTTGAAATTGTCTACAGTACCATGCTCTCTGTTGATGATTTCCATTAACTCCGAAGTTGATTTAGCGGTTTGCGCTAAGTAAAACACAAAAACCAGATCTAAGCAAGAAAACAACCGAAAGAAGCCGAGTGTTGTGTGCTTATTGCGAGTTTTTGACGTTCTCGATAACGTTAAATTTAACTCAAATGCGGTCAGAACATCAACCCTAGCGGCGTACGTAGGCAAACGTTCAAACTCCATACAAATTCGATTTAACTTTTACGCTATCGAGAACTTTAAAAA